TCCTGAATGTTGGTGGCCCCCCGCGTCTGTCTCTTAATTCATTTCTCTTCTCCCTATATGACTCTCCTGGAAGATTTCATAAACAACCAGAAGGTCTATCTCCACCTTTTTGTTTATATCCCACTGTAAAACCCACTCCTTGTTTTATTTATTTTTTTAATTAAAAAATTTTTTTCCCCTTCATTGATTTTAGAGAGAAAGGAAGGGAGAGGGAGAGAGAGATAGAAACATCGTTGAGAGAGAACATCGATTGGCCGCCTCCTGCATGCCCCCCACTGGGGATCGGGCCCACAACCTGGGCCTGTGCCCTGACTGGGAATCAAACTGTCCACCTCTTGGTACATGGGTCGGTGCTCAACCACGGAGCCACACCGGCCAGGCTTGCTCCTTGTTTTATAAGTCCCCATCTAGATAAGGGGGTATCCAGTCACTAAACTAGAAAAGCGGAAGTGATCCTACATTTTCCCCTTATCTTCTACAACCGAGGTTTCTCAACCACCATACTACTGATGTTCACGGCTGGATAATCCTTTGTTGTGGGAGCTGTCCTGTGCATTATAAAATGCTTAGCAGAATCCCTGGCTTGTACATGCCATTAGCTAAGTCCCCTACCTCCATCAAACAAACAATATCTCCAGATACTGCCAAATATCCCCCGCCCAGTTGATTACCCCGAGCTGAGAACTACCTCATTCAGCCCTATAGATTCAACCATTGCAGTATTTATCCCCTCAATTCCATTTTCGTGCCATTAAGTTTATTTAAATTCCACATCATTTTTGTGTCTGGATTTCTCCAATTGCCTCCTAACTGTGGCAAGTTGGCAGACACAATAGTTATTTCTGATTCACATCTTCACTGCCACCTTCTGCTACAGAAATATGAAATACTTGTTTTTCAGCCTCCCTTGTATGATCAGGTGACACCACTTAGCATGGCAAGTCAGGTTTGTGAAGAGGGTGACAGTTGTGCTTAAAGGGTCAAAAGCTTTGGAATCATCCAGCCTTGGGCTGAATCTCTGTCTCATCATTCTGGAACTTCTGTAGCTTTAAGAAAGTTACTTAAGTTATCTGTGCCCCATCAGTAACACTGGCATAACAACAGTACTGACCTTATAGGATTATTGCTAAGATTAACAATAAGTTAATATTTATGAAATGCTTAGTACTATTCCTGGCTGACTGTAAACACTGGATAAATGGTGGCTATCATGGGGGAATGGCAGTGATGAGGTAATACCTCTTTTCCTTGCTAATTGCAAAGGTTACTACTGCACATCCTAACACCGACCACTGTTCACATCTGAAGACTCAGTTTAGAGGAGACTTCCTCTGGAATTTTCTCACACTGTTACTTCCAAAGTACAAGCCCATTCTTAGGTGTTACTTGTTTTCTCCCTCACTATGCAGTGAATGCCTACAAGGCAAGGACCAGACCTTTCTTCTATATCTCAGGACCACCACAAGTAAGTATTTAACACAGTAAAGATCTGTTGCTAAATCAATAAGTGAATTAACATGATTAATACACACCAGCCTTGCAAATAACTTCCCTTCCACTTAGCAGCCCATGGGGAGGGTGGACCTTTAAAAAGCTTTGGACAGCCCTGGCCGGTTTGGCTCAGAGGTTAGAGCGTTGGCCTGCGGTCCAGAGAGACCCAGGTTCGGTTCCCGCTAAGGGCACGTACCTCGGTTGCAGTTTGTCCCCGGCCCCGGTTGGTCGTGCAGGTGGCAGCCACTCGATGTGTCCCTTTCACGTCGATGTTTCTCTCTCTCTCTCTCTCTCTCCCCCTCCCGCTCTATCTGAACAAAAAATGGAAAAATGTCCTCAGGTGAGTATAAAAAAAAAAAAAAAAAAAAGCTTTGGACATACCTAGGGTAAATGAAACAAAAATCAGCCAGGTGAGTTTGTAAAAGGAATTTTATCTCACTAGCCTCACAACTCCGGCTGGCTTTTAAGTAAATTGAAGACACAGATCAAATTATTCTTAGAGTAAAGAGAAAAATATACACGTGACCCCAAACATTGCAGGCAGCCTTTAAATGGGGGACATTTGTAATACTGTCAACAATAAAAAATAAAAAAAAGTCTTATTTTAAATAAATTCATCTAAATTTGCACAGGAGAGTGGCAATGGAAAGTGCTAATTGACAGAGAAGTCACAGTTTTAACACTCCATTGATAGACATGGTTTCCAAAATTAGGAATTTAAAGTTGCCTTGTGGTTAAAATTTAAACACACACACACACACACACACACACACACTTTTTACACCTGTCCAGTCTCTAGTTAGCAGGCTGTTAATAATGGAAATATTACCATATTTCTGAGGGGGGGGGGTAACTGTAATCCTAAGTAATTCAGCATTCTCCTTCATGTGTCTGTGGAAGAGGACCCAACCACATTTGGTTAGAAGTTGGTGATGGCTTTTCTTCACAAGTTTTGGACCCAACCATCTGTCATTTGCCATTTAACCAACTCCAACTAGGATCTCCTTCTCTAGGTCAAAATTTGTTAGATCATCTCTTCTGGAGTGATTCCTAAATTTAAAAATTTTTAAATTTTTTATGTCAGAAGAATGTTTTATATTGCCAAGTACTTAAAAATACCCTATTTTGGAGTGCTGGGGTAGGATTTCTTGTGGAAGACTATGGGATGGTAAGCATAGTCCATCCCCACGGTTCCTGCAGCTAGCTCCTGTGGGGCTGGACGGCAGAGGTCAAACTGCCACATACACACAGTATATCCCTTCTGTGAAGCCCAGAAGCACTTGAATGATTAACTGGAGCATGGGTCGGAGCACAGAGAGGAAGATTCAGATGTCTCCAGGGCCTGGCAGGTATGGTCAAGGGCTAAGAAAGGATAAGGCCTTGTGTAAGAAAATGACCACAGGAATGTGGGGGAGCAGGGGTAAACGCATTTGAATTTAATTAGTTAAAAACCACTATGGGGCTTCCATTTAACATGGCTAGCGGATCAATTTACTTAGCTGCCTTCTTCTCCCAGACTCTTTTAAAGAAGTAAAAAAAGTAAGAAGCTACTAAGAAATCCTGAGAGGAGACACTGGCAGAGAATAATTTTAGGACAAGCCTGGGGAAAACAATGGAAAGAGGAAGAAAGTAACTGACTTTCAGTGGAGGGACTAACACCCTTTGGAAGATAAGGGTTGGGTATATAAACACTGAATGTTTGAAACCACCAGCATTTCCTTTCCCCACAGCCAGTAGATGCTGTTGGTCTTCAGTTGTCCCTGTGAAATGTGACTGGAGAGGCTGTAAGGGAGTATGGGCACATCTCAAGATGGTGATGAGGGTGAGCAGTGGCTTTGAAAACAGTTGAGTCTCATCTGAACTCTGCAATCAAAGGCTCATCCATTTCCACCCCTATCCAGAACACTAAATCAAATCTTATAAAAAATATCTGGAAATGAATGACTGGAAACAGAAATTTCTTAAAAGGTCTCCAGGAAAAAGTAATTTCCTTTATCTTTGTCAATCAATGGTTGTTGGTGCCAACTCAACACCAACAGGACTCCCCGGTTTGGGATGTAACTAAGAAGGAAACTTAATTCAGTGCATGCAGCTCAGCTGTGATACAGCACAGCCATGAGAACCCCGTGGTGTGGAACAGTTCAACAATGTTACAGCTCAATCATGAAACAGCACAGCTGTTAGGAGGCCGGTGGCAAAGTCCACTCCAGCTACACAGCTCTCTACTCAGCCTCTGCGCTGGTCTGCTCCCCTCTACTCTGACAAAACTGGTATTTCAGTTCCAGCCAGGGGCCTCCATGGAAGGGGAAAATGAGTTCCCCAAACCAGAGGGGAGATGACTTAGGTGCCACCACCCCTGGTTCCTAATTGGTCTGTCCTAATGCAAATGAGGTCTCCAAACCTTCACAGTTTAGTCCAAAAGGCACTGTCCTAATTAGTCAGAATGGAGCCATTCTGATTGGTCAGTGAAAATGCTGATGGGGAAATATAGCCACACAGCACAGCTCTGATGGGACAGGGCAAGCCTCAGAGCTATTGGTTGAAATACAATTCCAAGAACTCCTTTTTAAGGGTTGGCTCATGTGGCCAGAACACATTGCAGCCAGGCAGTTGTGCTGACTTTTCGGTAAAGTCTGGTTTTGGTGAGAGGCTCCAGTTTAGAATTGGCTGCTAAGTTGTGTTCTTTTTTTTTTTTTTTTTTAAACTTGAGCCCAGTTCAGCCACTGGAAGCCCTTCTTAGTAAGTTATCATCTTTCTCAGGGTTCACATCCTTAAAAAAGTAGGAGTCACATCTAATAGCAAACAACCCACTCTTTAAAGGTAACTTTTCATCTGTACTGCCACAACAGTCTCTAACGCCTGTGACTTTCTCTGATAACTCCAAGCTTTCCAGATACTAACAACTCCGTTTACTTTCGCTGGATGCCTGCTGGTTCCTGAACAAGTGACATCCACGCTGGAGAGCCAGAAGTCGCCCAACAGGTGGAACACAGAGAGCAGCTACAGGGCGCTCCTTGCTGGCGTGCATGCGACTTCACGCCCAGGGGCTACTGGGGCTCCGGAGCGGCTTGCAGAGCACGGCCCAGAGAGAGGGCCCAGCGCCCCGGGTTCCCGTCGCCCACGCCCACCTCCTCCCGGCTACGCGTCCCCTCCCCTTGCCAAAGCACGGACTCTTGCGGCTGCCCTTATTGTTGGTCGCGTCTGTCACTTTGTGGGCCGGTGACATGAATGGATGAGCTGGACACACCTTCCAGCTTTCTAAAAAAAAATCCGGTCCGGATCTGCATAGAAAACGGGAGGGACGCCCCCGACGCCCCCGGAGCCTACACCGCGGGCCAGGAAAACGCACAGCTTCCCCCTCCCACACTCACTCCTCCCATCCTTTTAAAAAAAAGCCCGACCCAAATAAATAATACTGTTCCAAGTCTACCGGCGTCCTCGGTGCCCTCTCCTTCCCCGGGGCGCACGAGCTAGAGGCGGACGTGCGACCGGCCCGCGGGCGCCGCACCATGCTCCCCAGCGCCCTGGCGGCCCACGCCGGCGCGTACTGGGACGTGGTGGCCTCGTCCGCGCTCCTCAACTTCCCCGCGGCGCCCGGCTTTGGCAACCTGGGCAAGAGTTTCCTGATCGAGAACTTGCTGCGGGCTGGGGGCGCCCCGCCGCCAGGGCTGCAGCCGCCCCCGCCCCACGGCCCGGCAGCCGCTCTGGCCTCGGCCGCCGCCACCGCCACCGCAGGCGCGCAGGTCCGGCCCCTGCCCGCCAGCCCCGTTCCCCTGAAGCTGTGCCCAGCCGGCGAGCAAGTCAGCCCCGGCGGGGCGCCCTATGGCACGCGGTGGGCTTTTCAAGTGCTCAGCCCCTCGGCGGACGGCGCAAGGCTGCCAGGCCGGGCTCCGGGGGACCGGGACTGTACCTTCCATCCTTCAGCCCCAGGTGAGCCAGCTCTCCCCTTCCCAGCCGAGCCCAGCGCCTCCCGCCCGGCCTGCGGGTCCTGGGTCTGGGCGCGCCGGCGATGCGCACTGCCCGGAGGGCGCTCCGACCCCAGTGCGCAGGAATCCGCTCTGGCCTGGAACGTTCCTAGAACATCTCGAGGTTTAGAGGAGATGCCACTTTGGGGGTAAGGAGGGTAACCCACATCGTGATCCCCCACCTCCGTATCCCATACCACCAGCTTTCTCTCTGTCCCTTTTCTTTCAACAACTGGTAGGGCTACCTGGAATTTCAGGCCTTTTAGGGGAGAAACCTCGTTGTTAGCCCGAAAGGACAGGCCAAACCCCTAGGTCTCGAGTTCGCTGGACCAGTTTCACGGGATTTCCCAAGTTCAGCGATTTTGCCTGTCCGCTCCTTTCCCAGAGGCCGCGCGACACAGTCTGCTTAGAAAGTTCCTGCCAAGAAGAGCTTCCCATGGTCCACTTTGGGGTCATTTGCCTCTTAAACTGTTCAGACTGTCAGGCCCTTCAAAAACACTCGCAAAGAGCTTTGGAAGGAGAGTTGGGTAAAGTTTGGCTTTGGGTCACTAAGGCGCAAAGAAATCAGGCCTACTTTCTCTGCGTGCTGAGTTGAAACAGCTCAATTGGCACCTGGAGTAGAAAGTTCACCAATAAATGGGAATTTACCAAAAGAAGGGCAGTTTTGGTTTAATTCCTGCATGAAACTGAAGTGGTATGAGTGGGAAGAGTATGGGCAATTTAGTCAAATATTAGCTGAAACTTATGGAGGGGCTGCCGAAATAGGCAATGTGAAAAGGGAAAAGCCTCTTAGAGACTCAGGAGCTGAGGTCCAGTTGGATTAATTTTCTTTTTTTTTTGTCGCGTCCTTAGACGATCTTAACTCATTCTTTTAATCCCGAAGGGTTTGTCCAGAATGACTAATAGATGCGTTTTCAGCAGATTCCATTGTCCCAGTAAACTGCCGGATCAAATTTATTGCTAATGGCTTTATAGAATTTAACATGTTTAGAACCTGTCCTGGTCTTTCAGTTTGAAATGGTTACTAACAGAATGGAACAAATATAATTATATGAGCACCGGTCTCATTCACATAGTTTAAAACCTAAATTCTAGGAAGCCTTTTTGTACCCTGGGAGAGGAACAAATATAGTTTAAGCAAAGTTTATAAGCCTTGGAAATTTAGGCCACTCTCTTCTTTTTGAAGTAGTAGGAAAATTAGAAACATATAAAGCAGGTTCAGGTAGACAAAGTTAGTAAATAATGTCTCATAAAAATAACATTTTCAAGAAAATTTAGTGATTTGCATAACTTTTGGTGGTTTGGCATTATGTTCATAGAAGTTATTTTTCAAGGATCCTTATATTGCTCCTCATCATGATTTGCTACTCAGCAATGGAAAATTACTTAATTTTAACTTTCGTAGATTTTACAGATTAAATATAAATAAACCAAATGCTAATCAAATGCAGGTATGTCAATAACTCTGAAAAATAATTTCATATACCTGTTTGCTTCATTCAACATATTACAATTATTGGGAAAAGCTTTTTAATTTTCAAGAACATATTTACTCTTTTATGCTTATTAAAGTGTCAAAATGGAAAAATAGCTTTTTGGAATAATTAAGAGAGTATAAGAATTTATATTTTCCTTTGAAGTATTCTAATATAGTTTAAGCATATGTTATTTAAATATTTTATCCGATCCTCATTGAAGATTTTTTCTCTTAGGTTACTTTTCATATGAATAACCTTTTATTTCAAAAAATGATTATTGTAAAAAATGAATTTAATTTTTGAAATTAGAAAAATGTCTCAAGAAGAAAATGAAAGCCTTGTAAATTTGTGCCCACAAACATACTGCTTAAAATGAGCATTTACATTCATTTATTTTCATAATTTGACGAAGAATGTAGTTTTCTGAACATTGCCCAGTTTTATTTAAATGACAGATTCTTGCCTTACCAAATAGTATAGGAATTATTTTACACTCTGTAGAACTATGAGGTTATATTGTGCACTGACAGTGTTAGCTATCATCTGAAGATTAGATGAAGTTGAAAGTGATTATGTTCTGATGAGATATAAAGGAGGTCCGAAAGCTACTGTTTTCGGAAAGAGAACAATATTTCTTTCTGATCCGTTAGACACTAACTTAGGAATGGATCACAAAATGTGATTTTTGATCATTTCAGCCTATTGACTACCCACTTTTTTCTCAACCTTAATTTGTCAAATGTGGAATAAGAACACCACAGCTTTCTTAAGTGCATTGGTGAAAACAACACTATTTAACTAAGGGATACAGTTCTGCTTCATAATTTTTGTTACTCACTATTAATTATACCATATATTTCATTCATTCAGCAAATACTGTCTTCTATGTGTCAGGCTCCGTTCTAGGCCATTGGGATAATCAGTGAACAAAACAAGTAACTATCTCTGCCCCTGTGAAGCTTACATTCCATGTCCCATTACCACTTTATGGTTTACCAAGCATTTTTTAAAATTGTTAGCTGCTTTAATCCTCACAGGAGGCCAATCATTTTTCTACAATGATTATTTCATTTCCTAGTATTGTTTGGGTTTGAAGTATCAGTTTAAACATCTGTGAACTTGTGAAAGAAAAAAAACCCTGCCCAAATCCCCCTATTCCTTAGCTTAGTCTTTCATTGAATGAGAAACTAGTTCGGGATAATGGGATAACCAATTACGTGTATCACAATAATATATCAGATGTGATTTTGTATCTGAGCCTATAAAAGAAATGGGCTTTCCCCTTGATCTCATTACAGTTAAACAGTAACAGGTTTATTTACAGGTCTTGGGTGAAGGTGTAGCTGTCAGAGCTTTGTTCCTAAAAATTGGCAAGTCTGAATATTTAGCACAAGGGAAGAAACACTCTGCAGCTGTATGTTGCCAAGTTGTTCATATAGAGTAGTTTTAAAAATTTACTTTAAAAATCAAAGGACATTCCTCAAGGGTTGAGAAGGGCATATTTAGTGTATGTAACAGTATGTTGTAAGAAGGGTAAACTCCAGGGGTTGTATCTGAGGGTGGAAAAAAAAAGTCTTGGGTTTATTATAGTTTATTAGTAGAAACCAGGGGGGTTTGCAAGTAAATCTTACTCATCAGAGATCCTTCCGAAGACGTTTATTAATGTTATTCGGTGAATCCTGTGCTGGATTAAAATATTCATCTTTCGGCATATAAAACAGTCTTGAAGTGTAAAAACCTGAAAAATTTAAATGTGTTTGGGTTATGCCACAAATTATCTTCAAAAGAAGAACAAACAGCCTTGCTTTTAAATAACATTTGTTATTTTAAGCACTTTAGAAAATGTTTGACATAAAGATAATTTCCTGAATATAATTTATTGATTATTAAATCTACTCTTTATGCTACATATAAAAGGATTAAAAAGCAAATGTTTATTCTGGATAGGTGAATTAAACTGTTCTTTTTTTTAAGCAACTTTGTCAAGTAAATTGTACTGTATGCTCAGAAATGGAGCCAGGTCTGTAGGGTTTTTCCTGGCACTCAGTTAGGGCTGCTCCTCACCACTAATACTTAACGTGCACTCGGGCTTTTTTGTCCACCCCTGAGTCCCAGTTACTATTTACCTATTACTTCTTGATTCTGTCTGAATGCTTTGTGCTCCAAATTGGTAGTTTTTTCCACTTTCATTGAGATGAAAGTGTGAAATAAAATAGCTTCTCTTACATTTTAGGCATTTGGGGAGGGAGAAGATGGATTTGTGCTCCGAGTGGGAATAACAGTTCAAATGAAGACCTTATGGTCTGATTTTTAAAGCCAGAGCATGTCACTTATTAGGTATGTCACTTATTTTTGCTAACACTGTTCTATAGATTTGTTTTGGCAAGTTAAAGCTACAGCATCTTGAATGTTGATGATACTGACCCAGGACAAAAAGAATGGGGAACCCAAATAATAATGTGACCTATTCAGGTGGTTCCTTGCACAGGCCATCACCCCAAACATCTTTTGTTGGAACTTGTAGATAATATTGAACCATATTCTTACTGCATCTGAACATTATTTTTGTAATCTGATTAACATATATTTGGAGTTATAGTAATATATTAATAACTTTTACATGGTTCATGAAGAATTAGCTCAGAACAAATTTGATATGGTGTCCAACTTAATAAACTCCTTCAGGTTCAAGAAGAAGTTCTCGCAGTGAAGAGAATCGATAGCGCTAATAGTCCTTTTACTTGTGGTACTGATTGAGTAAGCCACAGTCCTTATAAAATACTGTCTGAGTTGAAACTACAACAGGGTAATTTATGTGCATGTAATTTGCCTCTGACTTTAGCACCTAGCCCTCTCCCAACGCCTAACATATGCTTCTCTACTTCACCTTAACAAGGAATCTCAGTTTGCTAACATGTATTGACACTATTGAGGTTTAATAACGAAACGGGAGTAAATCCAGAAGGCAAATAGGAACATTTTAGAACTTTCCCCTTAATTAATATTCACTTTAAGAATGCAAGAGTTATTTTAAGAGGCACAGTGGTTTCAGTGCCCGGAAATTGCATATGGATATGTGCAGAAATAAACTTAGGATTCAGAGAGTTCAAGGTGACATGCAGGAAGCCAAAGAGGCCATATGTTTGCCTTCCATGTAGCTCAGGTGTTGGAAGCAGTGCTGTGTATTGACTCTGTCGGACCTCTCTTTGAGGGTGTCACCTCCTTCCTGTTCTTGTGCCCACCAGAAAAACATCATTTTGCTCTAAGAAGACATTTTATGGTTAGGTTTGCTGCTGAACAGTGATGGAGATGGTAGCAACTTGAAATAAGGGGGCCATGTAGATACTAGATGTGTTCATGTAATACTTTGAGATTTTTTGCTATGAAAGTTTTTATAGAAGTGAAATGTTATCTTTAAAACATTTAAACAATTCTGTCCTTATGTTAGGGTAAGAGGGGGTGTAAATGCTTTATTAACTCCTCACTC